ATCAAATGTCAGATGGGCTTCCTTTTTGGTTTCCCTTCGCAAAACGCCCCGGAAAAGGGTACCCATCCGTGTCACTCTAAAATAATTTTCAATTTCTATGGTGAGTACCAACCAACAAACCAACCAACCAACCAACCAACCAACCAACCAACCAACCAACCAACCAACCAACCAACCAGCCTTCCTTGTGCGTTGCGGGCATGGTGGTGCATTGCTGGGTTTTAGCTAAGCACTCACTCCCCCGCAACAAAAAGTTCCAAAACGACTCCCGGGATCAGCAGCAACCATCGGCGGTATCACTGTGTGGGGTCCCTTCTGTCTGACGGGTCGCCACCTTTTACGGGGGGGGGGTCATCAGGCGAGTGGTTAGCAACCGTGTCATGTGGCCAGAGCCTCCTTGCACTTGCAACCGTTGGGCCACAGCCATGGTCCTCTTCGTTCATGTGTTTTTCTTTGAAAGGGCATTCCAAGACACCGTGGGCTCTGGGGGTTCCATGTCAATCCGATCCGGATCGCCCCTTTGAGACCCTTCCGATGAGGCCAAGCTTGAAGACCTGCTTGATGCGGTGGGCTCCGATCGCCAGAAGGAGGCCGGCGCGGAGCAGCCGAAACGCTCGGTGCAGTAGAAGCAATATTTTCTTGGTGGATCCCAGGCCAGCCACTATAAGAAACTAGCATCTTTCCTAGGGTCGTTTGGGTTGGGAGATGGAGTCACATGGTGCAAACCATTTTGTATCCATGACTATGTGACCGGGCTCTTCGCAGCGTGAACCATATGAAGGGGGAGATGAGCCTGGTTGGGTCAACTCAACAGGCACCCTTTCGGTGGACAGTGGCATCTCGGTCAAGGACAACACCTCCTTTGGATGTCTTCGCGTTTCCGAGCCGGTCAGGGCTCCATTGTCGGAAGAAGCGTGCGGTAAACTCAGTTGGTGTCGTTTTTTGAGTCGGTACCCTTGTTAAGGTTGGTTTAAAGCAAAACCAACAAGGGGTCCCCCTATTTGACACATACCCAATTTGGACCAAGCTCTGCATGGAGAAACAGGGCCTGACCTTCCGCTCAAGGTCGGCGCATGGAAAACTTGGGGCTTGCTGAGACCCCGAGTTGCTTTAGGAACCTTCTTTTGGGGCCTACGGTTCTATCAGAACCGTTAGGGGTTCAATTACCCATTTTGACCAGTGCAAATTTGGTGACTGTATTCTATGTTGTTGCTGCTGCAAGACCCAGCCTGGCGTGTGTCTGTTTTTGAAGGTTTCTTTAGAATATCCAGGCTGTTTCGTATATGAATTTCTGACATGTCGACGGTTTGTAATCCATGGGAAGGGAAACACAGTGCCAAAGTGTCACCAGTGACCTGACATTGCAAAACCACTGGGCCGTTGGTAGAGGAGCCATTTTGGGACCCCTTTGAGTTGCATCTGGAAATTTGCAGAGCAAACCAAAAATTCCCGCCTCCGGTCCATTGCTTTCTTTCATGTGGAGACCTCAAGTGGTCCTGGGCGCCCTTTTCCTTTTCTCTTTTGCGGGGTTCCGTTCCCTTTAAGTAACGATCAGGTACTCCTTGGCTTAGATTGGAGGGATTTGAACCCCTTCTTTTTTGGAGGCGGTTGAGGTTCCCCCCAAGCTCGCCAAGCCATCGGCCTTTTCGACAGGTCCAGCAGCTCATGGCAGAGGCGGCGACCTTGGCGACGCGCACGCGCCACACGTTGAGCGACTGCCTGGAGGCCTTGCGAGCGCTTGGGTGGGGCTCCCGTTTTTTGCCGGTACTCCTTTTTGGTGCTCTGAAAGGAAACCAAAAGGAACCCCGAAACCATTTTGCAAGGGTCCCTCAAAGAGAAGAAGACACACTCCTATCAATTCACTTGTCCAAAGCCGACCTTCTCAACGTTTGATGCTTCCTTGTTGGACCATTTTCAGTAAAGGTCCCAAAAGGTGAGCTGTTATTGTGCAGCCGCCAAGAAGGGATGAGCAAGCGACCCTTGGACGCCTGAGAATCTGACTCCATTGGAAACTCTGCATCCAGGGCTTCCTGGCTGATCTGAACATCGAATTCTGAACACCAAGATTCAGATTGTCAGTTTGGCCCAGGATTTGTGTGTGGGCCAAAATCACAATCAGGTTTTACTCTACTTGAAAACCCCATGCTTCTCAATCTGTTGGCAAACTGGCAATCTGACTCTTTGGGTGTGTCTTTTTTCAGGCAGCCGCCTTTTTGGTAGGTTTTGAAGAAAAACCAAAGGGAGAACCGGCATTTTGGTGGGTCCCCTCAAAAAAGGACACATCGCTCACGCCATGCTCGCGGCGACCGATCCACCGATTCCCTTAGCGGAGCGCCCCATGCCGCCAGGTAGTGGAGAAGGGCATTGTCCCAGAGGCCGCTCGATGGAAGGCATTTGATCTAGGGCCCACTTGTTTTGGCTACTGGCTCGGACCTTCCAACCCGGTATTTTTGTGGAGATGTGAGCGTGGAATTGAATTAGGGACCCTTTGGTGGACATCATAGTGGTAATTCATGTCCACCAACCACTTCCAAGAAAATCCCTGTTGAAGTTCATGGCCGTGTGGGTGTTCCCGGTAACAAGCAGCAGATCTTCCGGCGCGAGGGCTTTCCTGCCAAGTTGTTTGTCACCCCGCAAGGACCTCGCAGGGTGGTTTGCGTGTTCCAGTGAATGGTGAGCCTAATTGTACTCTGGATTTCTTCTTTTTCATAAGAAAGTAGACAATCAGGGCTGCTCCATAATAAAGGCCATCTCGCAACACGTCTCAAGTCCATTTTCGTGGCTGGAAAGAAGGCATGCTCTAAATTTGTGGAGGGCCACTTTTGGTGGTTTGCATGTCAGCCCTGTTTTCGGATCAGGATCCTGAAAGTGCAACCGTCTCGGGTGCAGCTTGGGATTTGGAGCGTCAAGACCAAGTATCCGGCACGGAAGGTAAATCAGTTCCAACAACCCACGAGTTTGCCAAACATCAGGCAACGAATTGGAGGTTTGTTTTGGTGGCTTGGGGATTTGAAGCCCTTAGGGGTAAATGCACCTCCAACGAATCCAAACTACCAAATTGGGGGGAAGCTGAGGCTATGCATCCTTTGCTCGAAAATAGTTTTTTACCACCGGGAAACCAATGGTTTGGGGGAGTTCCCCTTTGAGACGCACCCGTGTGGCCACTTGGGATTGTTGCGCTCGTAGGTTGAGCAGGAGGAATCCTGAAGCCGCGAGCCCAAACGCTGAGCTGTGCGTCAAAACGCGGGAACCTGGCGCGGGCCAATTCAGAATGGACCGTCCCAGTTTTTGGATGTTTTGGGGAACCTGCAAAAGGCGAAAATCAGCTTGGAAGCGTGTTGAACATGAAGGGCGCAGTTTTGACATGGAGCCGAGACTTGCGCGTCACCGAATTCGGTGCAACTCGCCTGCCATTTCGAAATCGGCACTGTTGGCACAGGTTCCAAGCCTGGCGGATTTCCTTTCACCCACGGACCCGACAGACTGGTGCCGATTATCCAATGGCAGAATTCGTTTGCAGCTATTCCGTGTCACCCCTTGCGTCCAAAGTTGCTGCTTGCCCACTTTTGCTGGCAGGCGAGCATGTGACGTATGGCGGCACGCCAGAAATTCAGCGAAAAGTGCCTGCATTGTCTCTGTTTCTGCATGTGCGTGCTCGCGCGTGTGCACGTGCGTGTTTGTAGGAATTGGATTAACGGCCAGGTTCTGCAGCACAAGCGTAATCCCTCCGAAGTGATTGGTGGTTTGGAGATAGGGTAAACGGGACCCCATCCCTGGAAATCCTCCAAACTTGCCATCGTCGCTCCGGGTCCAAATCTTGCTTCGCCTTTTTTTTCTCGCATGTCCCATTTCGCCGTTTCAGAGCATCGCCTGCTTTTGCGCGCGAGGCGGCGGCGCCCCACTTCCGCAGCAGTTGCAGAGCGAGCCCAAGTTCCGGTCAGAGCGGGGCCCCCGGGGAACTGGTTGCCGCAAGGTGAGCCAAGGACTGGGAGTCCAACAAGTGTTTGGCACTCCGGAACCATGTCATTGTGCACCTAGGCTTCGACAAAGTAAAGGCCCTAAGCAGTACATAAATGTACGTTTTGCGGGAGATCAACGGCGAATCAAGCAGGAGATCTGCGAAATGGTTGGCGTCCGCGTGCAAGAAGGCCCATGTACTAGGCGTTTCTCACCCAAAAGGGAAAGAGCCACGGGTGGATTCCGCCGTCTTGACAGTCAACTCGTTCGGCCCTCCCTTCTTGTGTTGTGAGGGTGAGCAAACATGGGGTCCTTCCAAAGTTGAGCCGTTTAAGGGCAAGAAGTGTCATTTCACAGCATGTGTGTCTTCGATAGTCGCATGATTGAATCGTCATACTCTTCCGCTATCAAGACAACTCAATTCCTGAGTTGCTGGACTGTATACTATTTGGGAAGACCATTTTAGTTGCAAACAACAAGTGTGGTTACCTTTTTTGACCAATCTACTCAGGAAGTGAGTCCATGTTCCTGAAAAGTGATGCTTCCAAGTTCTCTTTTCTCCTAGCAACCTCTTGGATGTGGATTTAAACTTGTGAGCAGATTTCTCTTCACTTATCTGACCTTGATTTGCCAACAAAATGTTTGTGCACGTAGCGACTGTTGGTTTGCGATCTCAGATTGAGCTGTCATAACTCAATCGGATCAACTTATGTACAGAGTTGCAATCAAGAAGAATGCATCGGACTTGACACACCCATATTGCTGTTGTTCAAACTGGGGATTCATGTTGATGTCCCTTTTCAGGCTCTTCCCAAACGGGTCTCGTTGTGTTTGGGACACGTACCATTTGAAACCGTTCTCTGCGTTGGGCATGTGACTCCGGAGCTCAAGCTGGCTCGAGCGTTTCTGAAGATTAGGCGTGCGGCGAAGAGACCACAAAGCCAGCGACAATTCTGAAGGCAAGATAGACAAGTGGCAGGACACAGTTTTTTGTTTGGTACAGGCTTCCCAGTCAGCCTGTTTCACAGCTGGTTTTCACGTCTTGCAGCGCACTTGCGACTTGGCCGTACATGCGGGCCCCACGTCTCCTGGCGCTCGTCGTGCTGGTGCCTGCCTCGGTGCAGTCACCATGGATAGAGTCGGGATCAGCCCAAGACGGGGGAAGATCTTACAGAAGCAGTTCACACAGGAGAACAATACCTTTCAATCAAGAAGCGAAAAAAATCAATTAAGCCAAAACAACAACGTGAGATCCACTGGGGGAGTCGAAGAACGGAGAGTTCTCAGGGACCGGGGACCCCGTTGAAAGGAGCCACGCTCGAGGTCTCTGGCCCGTGCTTCATGCCGCGCCTTCTGTGCCTGCACGGCAAGGGCTGCTCGTCATGGATTCACCTCGTTTCGAAGCCCCAAGGCCCTAATCTACATTGGACAAAAGTGTCTTTGTGTCCAGGAAACTTAAGCAAATGGAGGGGAGCGGGTGGGGTCCTCTCACAAGACACCCCTTATATGGGCATACAAATCCCTACCATCTACCTTTCACTCCAAAAAGGGTGCCACACAACACAAGCACATCCATGTCTCCTTCATACAGCACCCCCAGCAAGAAACCCAATCACGATTTCCGCCAAAGGGGATGTGCAAATCACCCCATACTGTACATGTGGGTGGACAAAAACCTGCACCAACTAAGACATCCTGGAATGGTTCGACAATGGTTTCAACCATGGCTTCGAGGTGGCGCGAAATGAATTTTGCAACCATCCCCACACACACAGTAGGCCCCTCAAAAAACATGGCTCTTAATTTTGATCAGGGACCCTTCGGTGGACATAGTTTAGGTGGGGGTTTATGTCTACCAACCACTTAGGGGGTAAAATTCCTAGCCATCATTAGCCATATGTTTTTCCCCGGGTTTCGTCCGCGAAGCTCGGAGCGAGGTAGCAGCGGTGCACTGCTCCAGGAGCGGTTGAAGCCTTTGGCGACCCAGGCGGAGTTGGCAGCTCGGAGAGGCTCTCCGGGCTCTGTGTGGAGAGGGCAGAGGGTTCGGATCGAATTCTCAGTTCACCAGGCAAAAAAGATATCATTTTTTGCTGGGGTCCGATTTTTTCAGCCTAGTTTAGGGTCCAAGGGCTAGGGCATGTTGCTGCTTATGACTGCCTGAGTGTATCTCATGAGTCGTATGCACTCGACCTTCGGCTGAAGAGCTTTAGACCGCTGGGGACGATTTAAAGTCACATCAACGATCTTTCCTTGCAGTTTGTGTGTCCCAAGGCTTGAACCCTTGCAAACGCTTCGGATTCCCTTCAACACACCGTTCAAAACAGGCTCCCTCAACTGACACTCGTTTGTGTCTCAGGCTCGAGCTTGGCAACTCGAATTGACGCAGTGCCTTTCTGCGCCATGAAGAGAGAGAGAGAGAGAGAGCTTCCTGTGCCATGAAGGTGGATGTTCTCTTACCCAGCGGAGCCGGCTGCTCCGTTGAAGTCTCACCAGCGACGCTCGTCAGCGAGCTGAGGGCTGCAGCGCAGCAGCATTTCCAGCGCCGCTTGAAGCTCACGGCAAAAGGCCGGCAGCTGGATTTGACAGCCACACTCAGTGAGGCGGGGCTGTGTGATGGGGACGTGGTGGATGCGGTTGTGAACCTTGGCAGACTGGCTGCAAACGATCAGGCGTTTGCTTGGCATGGCCATGGGGGCGAGGTTGTGACCTGGGGTGATCCAAAATATGGCGGAGACAGCAGCCAGGTGCAAGAGCAACTGAGGAACGTCCAGCACATTCAAGCAACTCGCCGAGGTGCTTTTGCTGCCATTCTTGAGTCTGGGGCAGTTGTGACCTGGGGTAATATAAACTGGGGCGGAGACAGCCGCCAGGTGAAAAAGCAGCTGAGGAGCGTCCAGCACATCCAAGCAACTATCTGGGCTTTTGCTGCCATTCTTGAATCTGGGGCTGTTGTGACCTGGGGTGATCGAGACTGGGGCGGAGACAGCAGCCGGGTGCAAGAGCAGCTGAGAAACGTCCAGAGCATCCAAGCAAACCCTGGTGGAGCTTTCGCTGCCATTCTTGAGTCCGGGGCTGTTGTGACCTGGGGTCGTGCAGACTTCGGCGGAGACAGCAGCCAGGTGCAAGAGCAGCTGAAAAATGTCCAGTGCATCCAAGCAACCGGCGGTGCTTTTGCTGCCATTCTTGAATCTGGAAATGTTGTGACCTGGGGTCATCCAGACTTCGGCGGAGACAGCAGCCGGGTGCAAGAGCAGCTGAGAAACGTCCAGAGCATCCAAGCATACCCTGGTGGAGCTTTCGCTGCCATTCTTGAGTCCGGGGCTGTTGTGACCTGGGGTAGTGCGGACGTGGGCGGAGACAGCAGCCAGGTGCAAGAGCAGCTGAAAAATGTCCAGTGCATCCAAGCAACCGCCGGTGCTTTTGCTGCCATTCTTGAATCTGGAAATGTTGTGACCTGGGGTCATCCAGACTTCGGCGGAGACAGCAGCCAGGTGCAAGAGCAGCTGAGGAAAGTGCAGTGCATCCAAGCAACCGGCGGTGCTTTTGCTGCCATTCTTGAATCTGGAAATGTTGTGACCTGGGGTCATCCAGACTTCGGCGGAGACAGCAGCCAGGTGCAAGAGCAGCTGAGGAAGGTCCAGCACATACAAGCAACAGAGTTTGCTTTTGCAGCCATTCTTGAATCGGGGGCTGTTGTGACCTGGGGTGATCGAGACACGGGCGGAGACAGCAGCGAGGTGCAAGAGCAGCTGAGAAACGTCCAGAGCATCCAAGCAAACGCTGGTGAAGCTTTCGCTGCCATTCTTGAGTCCGGGGCTGTTGTGACCTGGGGTCGTGCAGACGGGGGAGGAGACAGCAGTCGGGTGCAAGAGCAGCTGCGCTTGAATCTGGGCCTCATGTAACATGGATGACACAAATCCGAAAGGGACAAAAGGAAGCCGGGGCAAGCAGGCAACTGTTTTCACCTTTCAGTGCCCCTTTTTTGGTGGAGTGGCCCCAAAAAGGTGGCTATGAATTGCAAGAGGAAACCACCTCGAAAGTGGTTGGTGGACATGAATCCCCAGCTAAATAGCGTCCGCCTGGATCCTCCAACTACCCTTCAAAAAATGGATTGCACCAGCCATCATTTTGGGTCCAGGCACCCGCTAAGATTCACCTGGTGATCAACCAAATCCAACTTCACGGTTTTGGCTCTTCCGGCTCAGTTGCTACCATTCAAGCCATGCTTGGGTTCATTGGTAAAATCATGGGGCCAGTGGGTGTGGTCAGCTTTTTGAGGCCACCCTTCTCAGCTTTGTTTGACTGAAAGTTGAAAAGAAGATATCCAATTTCAGCGGGATTTTGAGAGACCGGCCGAGGTCTGTGTCGATGCTCCGCACCCCCTGGGCGGCGGTTATGCAGCCTGGATCAAATGGGAAGAGTTGTAAACAGGAGCGTTATATATATATAGCAAGGTTATTTGGTTGCAGAAGGGAACATTGTGTAAAGCTAGTGACCACTCATATTCTTTTACATAGTCCTTGGCAGATGATTTTATATTAGACATAAGTAGTTGCTGTTAGTTTTCTAAACCGCCAAAATCCGCCAAACATGGTAGGGCTCCTTAAAAGATACATTTTGCCCATTTGAAACATGGCTTGTTCCACCAAAACAAAGGGAAACCACCATTTACAAGGCAATGTTCAGGTGTATAATGTAAAGATCCCTGCATGGGTGGTTCCTTTTGGTTACCATTTTAACCAGACAAAACGGGAACGACACACCCGAATGTTGCGACAGATATACTGATTCAGAGCTATACCTCTTTGTTTGGCCGTTTCACCTGGTGTAAAGGGAACTCAAAAGGAAAGCCATTTGTTAGGTTCCCCATTCCGATACATGTCCACTGCGAAAGTTGTTTTTTGGTACCACATGTCAGAGGGCTGGGAAGACTGCTGTAAAGCGGGGAGGGGTCAAAGAAGTTGCTTTTGAGATTCCATGTGAATTTGCCGGGGGTAGTGATGCTTTGGTCCAAACTGAAAGAATTTCCCGTGGCTGTGCTGTGTGCGAGAAATTTGTGCCGATCGAGGCAAGCCAGGCAACGATAAAACGTGTGAGGCACACAACCCGGGATGAAGGGTAGTAACAAAGAATCCCAACCATATTAGAATGTGTATATATGTATACACTCACACGTCAACTGTTAGATTCTTTACATGGTTTGGGGCAGAGCATTCTAATACCAGGTTTTGATTGTGACTCTTTTGTGCAAGACAAACAATCTATGCAGGGATCTTAGCTGCACATTTGTCCAGCCAGTTGGGGATAGGCCAGCTGTACCAAGTTGTTTAGTGGGTCCACCACTAGCCCCTTCCCCACACAAGAACCAATCAAGCCCCAAATACGGTAGCTTCCAAAGAAATGGTCCACCCAACAATAAGGAGCCTTTTCTTGCTGGTGCTCAGCAGGGAATGAAGGAATGACCAAAAAATCAACCATCCCTTGTGGTTTCCTTTAAGGGAATCCCCAGGTTCATTGGACTACATTCCCCACTGAGCATCCGCAAGTTGCCGGTCACCGGTTGCAACCGGTGTCGAGTCCTGAGGCTTGGTGGCACCTGCCCCCTGGCGAGCGGTCCTTCACCACTCCGGTGTTTGCAGCTCGGACTTGGAGTCCCAAAAATGGTAAAACCGGTTTGGTTTTCTCCTTTTTCACCGCTGGTTTTTACGGTGTTCCTTTTTCTTTTAACGCGGGCCCATTTGGGCTTGTCTCAAAATAGCGTGGATGGACAAATCTGCTTCGCACCAGTTGGTAGCTGGCTTCTCCCAGTAATTGTATGGAGTCTGAACCATCTCTAGTGTGTGCGGGATTTTGTCCATCCACAGCAGAGGGGGCCCTTAAAGGTGGTTGGCTTCAAAAAAGCAAGTGATACGGGGTATCCTGTTTGGGCGTTGTTTCAAAGGAAAGGCAAAAGGAAACCGTGTGTTCCTTTTGGGAGCCCCAAGATGGGCTTCGGTGTCCTTTGGTTTCCCTCAAAACGACCCTGAGCGGTTTGAACATTTGGCACCCAAAATAACTTCTGTTCCATTAGGAACAACCTTCCCTACTTGGGTGTTCGTGGCCAAGTTAGTATATAAGTTGTTGGTCACCTAGGTTGTAACCCTAAGTACCCGGTTCAGTGGGGTTCACCTTGTTCGGGGGGTATACGGCGAAACACTTACCAACTTGGCAGCAATCACCCAACAAAGACCCAAGTATGATCAGTTGAGCCACATTCAAAACCCGAGTAAGTGAAGGTAAGGGACAGTCCCAAGCAGACTTAGGTGCGGCCGCCTTTGCAGTTCTTTACACCCCCACACACTCCCACACCCCCACCCCCACCCCCCCCACACCTTGGTTTGGGCAGACCGTTTTAATACCGACTCGGGTGCTGTCTGACCTCGGCTAAGGAGGGCTGGCAAGAGACGCTGGAGCACATCCGCCGCGTCTGGAAGGACCAAGGGCCTTTCGACGGCATCCTGGGTTTTTCTCAAGGCGCGGGTCGCCCGTTGCGCGCCCGGGTTTCCCTTGCGGGGCTTCCCGGCTTCAAGCTCAAACTTGGCTGTGGTTATCCAAACCCATGGGATCCCATTTTGTGAATTCACCACCCATTTTGGGATTGGGATGTTCACTGGGGGTACGATTTGGCGTTTGACCCCTGGCCACTTTGGGAGGGTTCCCTGTATAGCGAGCAAGCAGATGGGAGAGGTACTGGGCTTCCGGCCTGAGATCCAACAGCCTCAACAGCGAGACATTTGGGTTCTGCGGACTGCCACTTTGGCCACGTGCCAGGGACTTCGGAGCTAGTGGTGTGTTGCCATGCTGAGTTGTGTTGGCTAAGTCACGGCTAGGATGTTGTATTGTTGGCCTACGTTTATCGTGTGTTTCCATCGATCGCGTGTCATTCTCTGTGACTGTGTGTTTTGGAGTTCTTCTGGCCAAGTCTTGATAAGTTAATACTCAGTTGCCCAAAGCCCCAAAAGGCAGCCTTTGACCTTTGGTGTTCCTGTTTTGGTCCATATTTGGCGAAGGTCACAGTGGCCTTTGATTTCCAGATCCTGTTGACACATGAGAATGGAAGCCATGCAATGGCTGAAGGTACGTTTCCCCTTGTCGTCGCTCTCCAGTTTGACTGCTCCGTCCCTTTGCCCCGGCATAAACTTCAAAAATACCGACTTGCATTCACTCACAACGATGGGTGTCACTTTTTGCCGGGGGGGCAGTTGCCCCTTTCTTGTCTTCCACCAGGGTCGCCGGTCGGCTCGCTTCAAACCACCTCGACAGGCGCGATCCTGCTGGCGGCGCTGGTGGCATTGGGTGAGATGAAGGAAGGCAGGCCTCTGGCATCTTGGATCAATGGATTTCCAGTCAGCTGCATGCACCTTGAGGGTTTCATGTCCAAAGTCGACTTGTTAACCTTTTGGTTTTCCCTTTTTGGTCCACTGATAGAAAAGGTCCCAAAAGATAAAACTGTTATGTTGGGCCAACTGAGTTTAACATGAATACATCTAGGTGTGTCTTGTTTGAGGGTACCCTTTTTTGGGGTTGAAGGGATGCCAACAGGAAGCCAATAATCTTGAAGCTTCCCGTATTTTGAGAAGAACCCATATTCAAATCAGTGCGTGGTTGAGCAGGCAAGTGAAGCCCCCGGCGCCGCAAGGTCTATTTTGCAATCCGTTTGTTTGGGGCATTGGCACGGGTGTTTTTTTTGTGGCTTACTTGATGCTTTGGCAGGTCTAGATTGTTACTCCAACAAGATCTGGGACTGCTCACATTGGGGAACAGCCGACAGGTGGCCGGAACCCTGAGACGGACCGCATCTCAGGTGACCAGGGCCATCTATTTTTCCAAAGGGTCACCCAGCATCGCACCGGAAATTGGGATGCCTCCTTGGCCACCTCTTCCAGAGCTGTGGCCTGTTCTTATGGCCAGGCGCATGCACATGCATGCTTGCACAAGAGGCCATTGCCTCTTGGGACTGACAAACGCGCAGGCACACCCAGTTTTGCACGGCACATGGAGACACACGCATACACGCACAAACCACTTTCTACAAAAGTTCCATATTCAACGGGCAAAAGGGACAACGAGCCCTCGCGCACACGGATGTTTGGTCCATTTGCGCGGGGAGTTAGGCAAGCTGCCGGCACCTGGTGCTTTGCGGCGCGGCAGTTCCTGGTCCGCCACCTGGCAGCCGGAGGCTTCGCTTTTTAGGACATGATCATGACTGTTGACACGTCATTGTAAATACAAGCGTATGTCTTGACCATTTAACAACAGAACTCGCACAATGAGGAATAAACCGAAAAATAAATGGAACTTCACATCTCGTAAAAACACACAACTTCACAGTCTTTAGGCCGATCCTAGCGAGGTTTAAGCGCGAGATGGCCGAGCTGATGGCTGACCCAGGCCCTGATTCTTCCATCGGGTGGCCTGGGGGAGAGGGACGGAGGCAAAGTCCTGGGAGCAAGGGAAAAAATGACTAAAACGTGCAGTCCCCTGGTGGCTTATTTTTGACCCACACCCATATGGTGTGAACGAAAAGAGCCCCGCTGGGCTAACCACCAGTCCGGGAGGGGGGGGGGCGAAGATGGAGCCCACCATAGTAATTCTTGAGGACCTCATTCAGGTTCCATTTCAGTAAATGGGAGGGTAATGGTCTAAATCTAGAAAGTTTCTTCTTTCCTTTGTCATTCAATCTGAGAAGCACTCCGTTGCGCCGCTGCGCCGTGCAGGCGCTCGGGGCTTCCAAGCCCTCCACACCGTGGGGCGCCAGGATGACATCAACCCGCCCGAAGGTGCGCGGGAGGCGCGGATTTCGGGGCATCGGCAGATGTGAGTTGCGAAGGCGTATAGCTACGAGGACTATACATAGAATATACACGTGTATATATATATATATATATATACATATAGATTGATGCACGTAGATAAATGATGTATACAACCATGGATATTGCATTTTTTAAATAATAAATGTATCTATGTGTACACATAAAGGCACACACACACATACTACACATATTCCTTTACCTTTTCTTGTTGACTGCATTTAGTTTTCATCGCTTCGCTTGGCGCAGGTTGCTGCTGCGCTGGGTGGAAAGGTCCTTGAATTCGAGGGCGGCCACGATGTGCCGTTGGACGAGGCGCCAGCTCATGGGTTGGCTGTTTGGAGCGGTCAACATGAAAATGGCTGTGGGTCAAAACCCAGGAAACCCCTGGTGAACATCAAAATAAGTGGCAAATGGATCTTCATCCACCCCAAAATGGAGTCATGGCCATATGGGTGCGTCTCAAGATCTCAAGCGGGCCCCTTCCAGGGGCTTGGTTCCCTTTTCGGTGTCCATGTAAAGCCAGCAAAAAAGGGGTCCCCCATTTTGGGACAGACGCATATCATGGCTTAGTGTGACCCCAAAGGACCCCACAGGACCTTTCGGAAGTAATCCAGTTTTCCATCAATCCTACAAAAGGTTAAACCTTTGCTCAGGGAGGTGAGAGCCAGGGATCTTTGGCGCAACTCAAATCTTTGCTCAGAGGTGTCTTCCAGGTTTTTGGAATGCAGGGGTTTCCCCCGTCTCTACCAATGGCGGACTTCATGGGGCTTGTTTTGTCTGAGGCAGTTCCAGCATTCTTGCAGTGCTTGTGAGGGAACACTGCGGGCAAAACGCGAGATGTGAACTGGGATGCTTAGGGAAAGATCAAAGAAGGTACGGATGAGTGCATAACGAAAGAAGCCCAAGCAGAACCAGAACCCAAGCAAGATTCGTTCTATTGATTGTTAGTTCGACCCGAGTGAATCCACATATTTATGTCTTCCTTTCGGAAAATTGTATCCGGGCTAGCAAACCTGTTTGCTTTGGCCAAAGACCAACACAATTACGGGCCACTTGACCTTGGGCAAACGCGAACCCCCAATATCCTACCAAATATCCTACGCGAAGGTCGGGCGGAACTATCACTTCTCCGGAACCCACCCTTTCCCTTTAGGTGGCACACGGGGGTTCTGGACCGAGGCCTGTCAGCTTCCGTACAGACCGAAAGCAGCTACGCCTGTCTTGTTCCTCTTGATCCTTTGTGTTTGGTGGCATGATACATGCCGATCCAAATGATTGGTCTCATGTTTTTGTTTTGTTTGTGAGGGGGTTCACTTCAGATGCAAGTCAACTCCCCCCCCAAAAAAAAGGCTGGCCCGTGCTTTCCCATGGCGCTCGGCTGGTTTTTGTTCTGAGCGGCTCCGCTCTCAGCGCAGGCGGCTTTGGGCGCTTACCGCGACCTCCTGTCGTGAGATTCAACGCGCAGAAAAGGGCGGGGCGCGAATCCGAGCGGTGCCTGGCCGGTACGGCCCAGAGAGGCGCAGGCACAAAATGGCACCTGTCGGATTTGCTTAAAGGACTTTCTTGGTTTGCAAAGGGAAACCACAAGCACCAACCAGTTTAGGGGAATCGCGGCTGTGCACATCAGCCGGGTGCAAATTGGCATGAACCTTGATAATTTTTGCAGGTGCATGTTATATATCGGTGTTGTGTGCCCCTCTATCGAGTTGTACCGTTGTTATTTGCCGGATGCGCAAGTGTGGCTATGAATTTCAAGAGTGGGAACCACCAAACACAAGTGGTTGGTGGACATGAATTACCACCGAAGTATGATATCCACCAAAGGGTTCCTCATTGAAATGAACACCCGTATCAAACTGTAACCTTGGAAGCGATCTTCGATTCGCACTGCAGGTTATGACGGCGCTCGCTGCTACAATAGTTTCTATGCAAGCGCGTGAGCTTCATGTACGGCAATGTACAGATTCCGGACTGGCCTCCAGTAACTTTCGTTTGCATTTGCTGAGTTGTGTGTTGTGGTTGTTGATCCGGCAGATTGAAGCAGGCAGGACAACTTGTGTGTTAGCAAGTCCAGCACAGCATGCACTGCACAGCATGCGTTACTAAGCCAAAGCACAACCTTGCGCCTGTGGACTCTAAACTGGCCGGCATGGCGGCATCGAGGTCAGAACCGCTAGGTCTTCATCCCAAGTATTTGAAGCGACGCAAGGCGGGAAGACCTGAAAGGGCATCATGTGTAGAGAAGATTTCCTTGCTTAGGGGGCCCGTATGGAAAATAACAGCAAGCTGTCTTTCTGCAGTGCTGAGCGAAGACCCAAAGACACCCTGCTTTGCCGAAGCAGAGCAGATGCAGGGAAAAGATGTACTGTTGACCCAGGATGTATAAACCTCTGGTTGATGAATAGGGGGTGTCCGATCTTACCAGAACTGCTGCACTTTGGGCGGAACTCTTCTACTATGCATCCACCAGGTTGATTAATCCGGGTCAACACTACAAAGAGCGTGCTGTTGAGACATGAGCAGCGCCCAAAATCTCTCCTGCCCACTTTAGTAAAGGGCTCTACGTACTGCCTGGTCTAGTGTGGCTGAGTGTTTGGCATATTTATACCTTTCACAGGGCAGAATCAGTGTCAATGGGATTTTGGGCGCTGGTCACATGGAATGACAGTTGTGCATGCCATGCGTAAATTCATGTGCATACTTAGAAGAAACAGAGAAGAGGATCTTCAGCGGGGGCCCAAGGGCCATTGGTTTCTGTGATGGGAACACCCCCCACAAATGGTTGGTAGACACAAATTGCCTTGACTTCCATTTGCTTAAGAATATTTGTTATGTTCCCCTGTTGGTTTTAAAATAGATCTTTCACTACTGGAAGTATTTGTTTTTTTTCCAGAGGTCTTAACCCAATGGAAGTTGAGCATTATGTCCAACAAAGTCACCCCAAGTAGAATTCACATCCGCCAGGAGCTTTGGTTTGCTGTAGGTATCTTTAAGGGTCCTGTCACATGACTGTCGGTTGGCTCTGAGTGCAAGGCATCTATTGCAAGAATCGCAAGAACTGCAAGCTGTAAAAGTGCCGTTCCAGCAAACACCAAATCGCACCAAGCCCCGCACACACACACACAGATCGAGGGCGCAGAGCACAGTCCTTGAGCCTGAATGCCGGAGAATCCGCAATGCCTGGCCAACATGTTTGGAGAGACCGAGCGCGAGCCCTCCCCGTTTCGTGCTGGTTCTCAGCTTGGAGCCATTGGAAAGCCGGGATGAACTCTGTCAATCCTTTTTAGTTTTCAGGCGATGGCACGCCTCCAGTTTCTGATCTTCCAGGTACCCTCCCACATGTGCCACGTTAATGGGAGGAAGCAAGGATATTGCGGAAAGCTGGTTGATTTTCTTCTGGCTGATCGCCTTTAGGAGAACCTGCAAGTTTGAGGTCGACCGAATTTGACCGGATCTGGTTCCCTTTTGGCAACCATGTTTGTGGCCCAAGATGAAATTAATCCGTTTTCGTCCCAGCCAGGGCAGCTGAGTTGAAACATGTGTTTTTTTGTTTCCCGGGTTTCCTCATTTCCCGGTGCAAACTTCGGGACCGAGTGTTTCTCCGATTGAACATTTCGGCCAGGGCTAGAGACTTGGCGGTGATCCTCGGGGACATTATCCGGAAGGGCCGCTGCCGGGACGCCAACACCAAGTTCTTGCGGCTTTATTTGTGCTTAAACGGTTGTTGTTGTTTTTGTGTGTGTGTGTGTGGGTGGGTGGGTGGGTGGGCGGGTGGGTGGGCGGGTGGGTGGGTGTGTGTGTGTGTGTGTGTGTGTCTGTTCCTTTGTTTGTACTTTGTCTGTTTGTTTGTTGTGTTCTTTGGTGTTGTTCTCGTAGTTAGTTGATGTGTCGAGTTCTGCCACGCTTCTGCCTGCTTCTATTCCCCTCCAGTTTTTATCCGTTTCTTGGCTTCTTCCAGTATATTCTCAAGGAAAGCAGACTCATTTCGTTCCAGTACTTCGGAACTATCTCTTGATAAGCCGTTATAAGCTGGCCAATGGGTCTTGAGTGCTGCTCAAATTGTGCTGTCGAGATACCCATCTGCTTGGGATGGTCATGGATTCCCGAATTAGGATCTTAGACCTATCATGGAGCCGCAAAAAAGAGTTGTGACCATGGCACACGTGTTGCCGTTGTGTTTTTCTTGTCACTGTTGTTGTGCTCATTGTTCTTTGGCCTGTTAAGGGACCATACAAATTCAATCATCGTTTGTTTGCTTAAGGAGCCATAAGAAATGAAACGTGGCCGGAGGGATTGTATTCTTGCAAGGCATGTCGGGCTTCCTAGCTCTTACCATTGTGACCCAACAGATTAGCTCCTAGAGATGGAAAAGGAGAGATGAACAGTGCTTGTTGGCTGGTTGCAGAGACTCATTTGCCCACTCCTCTCGTCCCTCTGCTCCAATTCGCATTTTCGGGAGGTTAGACACGTGATCAGTGTCCCAAAGATGAAGACCGTAAGGTAGAAACTGCAGGTGGACGATATCAACTCAGCTCACGGATCGCTAATAAGGGTTAACTCTCCTCCCCATGGAATATGTTCCAGCAAATATTAAAGACTTCACGAGTTGTCATGCGCCTTTGTCTTTTAATTTTAATGTCTATGTTCTATTTTGAGGAGGTGTTTTTGTTATTTTGAATATCAGTGTTTAAATATATATATATATATATATATATTGGCTTTGCTTATTTTGTTGCTGATTTCTTATATTCATGTGTTGTTTATCCCTTTCTATTTTAGACTGTTCTTTCTAAGTCTTCAGAATGGTAGCCGGGATAAGGGGAGAGTGCTGGACAGAGGGCAGCCTCGCCCAACAGATGCGACTAAGTACAATTTGGGGACTCATATCCTATCTGTTCATGTGGAACATATTGCCTCTCTTCATCAATCAAAATCTAGACATTGTTCCTTTCCATTCAATGTTAGGTTCCTTTCAGAACATTATATATCATTATATCTCCATGTGTTTCTGTCCTCATTAGCCATGTATTCTATGATCTATACGTTGATGTTCTTATTTCTCGCTATATTGTTCCACTTTTGCTGAATGAGTGTTTCTTGTCATGAAATGCGCATTCTCCCTTTGATGCATATGCAGCGCTCAATATGTTCAGTCGGGACGGGAAGGCAAATGAAACACCCGAACAATCGCCAAGGCCTATGTTGGGACGAGCCTGGATGTTCAATTTGGCGCTCATGTACTTGTTTTGTTCGGTTGGTTCGCAAAAGTATCTCGTCATGAGATAATAGCTTCCCCAAATTACCTCCCCCTTTTCCTTTTTTGCTTTTTTGGGGTCCCCTTTGTTTTCCACTAACCAGGCAAAAGACATATTTTTTGCTGGGGTCCTAATTCCAGCCAAGATAAGTATGTTACAGTATGTTATGTTCATTCTTGTGGTGTGGCCCTTGGTCCCAGGTCCGGAAGTCCTGGTGGTCTACACCTGCGGCCACACCTGCCAGGCAGAGGCCGGAAAGCGAAAGCGGGTTGGATGGAGCTGAGCCGTTTGTGCATCCCCCTGCGCATTTCCCCTACGGGTGAGGTGGACCTCCCGACATTGGTTTAGCGGTTGCTCCAACCCCACCCCCGAAACAAACAAACAAAAACACACACACACACACAGGTGGGTTTGTTTAAATAAGCCACGGCTTCATGGTTCACTTGTAAGGTAGCCTTTTTGATTACAGCTGAAGGAACCCTTCCTCGTAAGGTAGCCATATGGGTCGTCTCAAGGGCTGCAGCTTTTGATAGGCCTTCGACTTTCAACGACCTTTTGTCCCTTGGCAACTGTTTGTAGCTGTTATTTCTGCGTCCCAGGGTGTTCAACAAAGGCAAGGGTTCCGGTGTTCGTGTTGCTTGAGGGTGACCTTTTTTGGGGTTGGAGTTAACAGTACCTTTCTGGGGATTATGATAAGTAAGGCTTTTATGAGGCTCAGTCGAGTTTTGCAGTAGCCTATGGTCTACATTGGAGTTTGCATGGGGCAACTAACTTCTCTACAAAAAGCAGGGAACTCGCCAAAAAGTCCCATGCCTCTTTGGGAAACAAGTAACCTTGACCGCTCTGGGAACCAAACAGGGTGTTTGTATGTGTGTGCCCCGTTTGTAAGAGACCAAAGGGAAAAGTCCAACCGGAAGAACTGGGAGAGTGAGCGATATTGACTCAGGAATCACCGAGAAGGATGCCATCGAACAGCTGGGTTGTAGTCAACTAAGATGAGTTGCAGTGTGGATCAACTCTTGTTGATGAATAAAGGACTCAAAGCTTTTGGGGGGCTGTGGGGTGCTTACGGGTCCCATTATTTCGTCACACTCCTAAGGGGTGTCTTGCAACGTGATCCCTTAGATGCGTTGGACCTCCCGATTCAACCAGGTTATGAATCAACGTCGCAACATCTGCCACGGTCAAAGGATGGTTCTTTGCACCTGGGCTAGGCATGGGGATCTCCTGTCTTTTTTCCCTAGGGCTGTTTTTTTTTCACTAGTTCTGGTCCCTGGTTTGTTAATTGGTTGGTTGGTTGGTTGGCCGCATCCCCGGCATCACCAGCCTCACTCCTGGGGCCGCCGATTGGATCTGATTTATTGGCTGGCTTAGATCTTCGTGAGGGTGGGTCTTGCGGTGGTTTGGGGTTGATTTAGGCAAAGCGAAGGGCTGACATCCAGGCTGCTGTTGGGGGGGGTTAGGGTTGACTTTGAGTGGGGTTGGGTTGGTTTGGAGCTGATTTGTGTTAGGTGCTGCTGGTTTAGCAGCGGCTTTAGGGTTGCTTGAGGGCGTGGTTAAGTGAGTTTTGGGCGAGTTTTGGTGGTTTGGGCGAGTTTTGGTGGTTGTCAGCCCTTCGCTTCGCCTAAATCAACCCCAGCCAAAACCCCCCTAACTTAAACCAGACCCCAGCACCTCCCAACTGCCATAAAATCAGAGCCAATAGGCAACCCCAGGGCCAAGTGATGCTGGTGATGCTGGAGATGTTGCCAGCCCTGCGGATAAGAAACAACAAGTTACCCCAGGCATGGGTTTCTTTTGCCTGGAGAGCGATTGGTTTAAACAAATCCCAGCCGCCCTGTGACAGGCGCGCTGTCCATTTTTTCGCGCCAGTCAGCCTCCGATCCCTGGACTTTACTCACTGTTGGTTGGGTTTGGATCATTCATCAGTCCTTGCTCCGATCTGATCCCAGCGGAAGTGAGTGCTGGCGCTTCGGGGGGAAGTCGGCGCTGAACGCCATGGCTGCCCAACGCCGCCGTCTTCCTGTTCTGGCAGTTTCCGACGCGCCAGTCGAAGCGACTTTCTGAGGTAACTGACTTGAGTTCCTCTACTTGACATCCTTTTTCGGTTTGGAACATTTTTAGTGGTAACCAGCAAGTTTACACAATTGTTTTTGCCAGTCCACTCAGGAAGTGAGGCAAAACGCGTGACTTTGGACCATTCATTGTGGTAAACCTACAGTCTGGACCCGACTTCTTTTTTCTTCGCCCTTCCACTCGATGGGAACTCCGGGGAGTCGGCCCGTTGGCCAGGTCCAGCTGGCAAAGTTTCTGGAGAAGCGAGATCCTCGCACAGCTGCCAGGCCGCTAGCCACGGACAGGGGGTTCCCCCTTTGTGGTAGAGACGAGAAACCGAAGGGAGAACCGTAGGTTTGAAAGGGAACCAAACGTGGAACACCGAAAAGATGAAGGATGGAAGCGTTGTTTTGTTCTGGGGGGTCATAAATTTGATAAGTGATCAACTTGATGAACCAGAGCAGGGTTCGCAAGTTGTGAACCATGACGGGACTTACCATGGCTTTGGTGGCTACTTTGCCTGTGGCGAGAGTTTCATTGGTTTTCAAGTAGGGTCCAACACGAAGCATAATCTAAAAATAGATCGGTGCACCCCCGAACTTGGGCCAAGATGGTGCCCCGACGTTCGAATCTGCTCCGAAAAGCGCATCGATCTCTTCTCGAAGGACGCTGCGAGTGGCATGCCGCAGCGGGGAGCACTTGGGGGAAGAGGGTACCTTCAAAGTGGAGGCCTGGTCGCAGCACCAAACTGGCCACGGGTAGGTTTCCTCCTGACCTCGGAGCCGAAGGGAAGACGACGTTGCTTTTAAAGGAACCGGTTTTCTGGTGGCTTCCATGGGCGAAAAGGGTCAGCCCATCACCTTTTCTTACAATGGGTGGGCGCTCACATTGCTATGAATGTCTGAAATCCATGCTCATAGAATCCACAAACCCAGCGTAGCCATTTGCCTGCGTATTTAACCACGGGGTGGTCGACCCAACTAGGAGGAAAAGGGTCTGTTACCTATACCGCTCTACGTAGGACTGCCTCAACTCTGGCGAGCGGCTCGGTTAATCAGCCTTCTCGTCTTGACCTTGGTCCGGGCTCCAAATCGATTTCCCCCATGGGCTGCAGATAATCTGGCTTTGGATGGATCATTTTCCTTTGTCTCCGCTGCTCTTGGTTCGTATTCCTTGGTTTTGATCATGGTAGTGGCAGGCCTGCAGGGAACATTCAGCGGATAGCACACCTGGCTCACCTTCCTTACCGAGCATTCTGGCCTTCCTGGATCCGGCATCGCAGTTTTAGAACCCGACGTATCTTGCAAGTATCCTCCTTTTCCCCCCTCATTGCAAACGTTGCACCTTACTGGAAATAGATTCGAAGAATCTCATACTTGGACCCAGTCAAGTCCTCAATGACGTACTTGGCAACTCCGCAGTCGCTTGTCAAAATCGATGGATTTCCTCGATGTCTCCTTCCCCCAGTTCGGACATTCGTTCGGTTTTGCTCACATTTGCTCACGCAGGTCCCGGGTGGCCCCTGCTGGGGGCCAAGGGGTGCTGATCTGACTATGACCCCACGTGCCTATCCCCAGTTCACATGGGTGTGTTGTTTTTAGGGGACCCCCAAAGCGGCTTCGGTTCTACTTTTGGGTTCCCTTTCAAACCAACAAGACAGGTACCCTTCAAAGCAAGACACCCGCATGGCTGGTGAAAATTATTGAATTCGAATCGAACGGTCGGACGAAGTAGACCTAAGATCCATGGTGTCAAGAATGATGTTCCTGTGAATTCAAGCAGGTCATCACATATTGCTACCAAACACAATTGACAATTGGTCATTAATCCTACAAAAGGTGATCGCCATATTACTGAGAAAATATCAACCCAGCTAAGTCTACGGGAGTTGTATGAGGGACATCCTACTTGCATGACTTAGGCGATATGTGTCCTTGTAGGCTAAACGCTGGACTCACTAGGCTTGGCCTCAAGCCACATATTGTGAACTATGAGTGTCTTTGTGTGAAACTACCAAGCAAACCATCTACAGCTTGGTGAAAGCAGTTGACACAATTCACCCCCGCCCCCCCCCCCCCCCATGTTGCTTTGAGAATCCCCTTTAGCAAGGGAATTGTGCCTGTTTATCCCATGGATTCCACTAGCTTCAGTTGGTGTCTTCAGTGAGGGTCGAATCATTTGTTAGTACTATCTGCCATCCTGTCCACTACCATGGACTCGCCATTCGTGGGAAATCCTCGTTAAATATGGTCAACCCATGAAACATAGGGTCATTTGGTTGATATGCAGCGGGACAGTACCTTGTAACAACCTTGTAAGAAGGTCTGGTTGCCTGCTATGATGTTAACTGGAAGAGAGAATTGGGGAAGCTGTGGGACGCATCCGTTTGGGAGGGAATTGAGTACTTCCCTGAGCAGTGCAGGCTGGCGCTTTACGCCCGATCAGAACCGCTGAGATCGCTCTGAGCCAAGGCCGGCACAGCGCATGCGCCAGCAGCAGCAGCGCAGGCCAGGCACCCAGCACCTGGGATTTGTGTTGCGGATCTGCAGTCTATATGTGGAAAAGCAAGTGCTCACTCCCAGGTTTTCTGGACTTCAAGGAAGCCCACTATATGAATGTGTCAGGCCAACACTTTGGAAGCGGTTTCCATGGTCGAGCTGAACTGAAAGCACTCCATAGCACATTATTCAAATGCAAGGGATGGGGTTATGGGCACTCAAAACCATGTGTAGGTATGCTTCTAGGGGTAAACGGTCAGGAATTAGTGAGCCTCTTATATCACCATGGGTCCAAAAGTGACACCTTGGGTGCCCAAGGAAAAGTCAAAAGACAACCATTGCCACCCCAATTCCCTTGTTTTCGGGCACCTTATAGAGGAGGGAGACAGTCTGAGGGCGTGGCCTGCCGTCTTGACTAGAAAGATGGAACCATCCAAATGCCGAGTGAAAATCTCAAAGCGCATGGATTTACCTCTACTTGTGAATAGATGGAACAATCAACAATTGCCACGCTACTTTTTGCGCGACACCTCGGCTTATTTTGTGCGACACCCCAAATGCCAAGCCTTGTGTTTTCATATTTGTTTCACCAAATGCCGAGCGACTTCATCGGCCAGGGCGGCGCACCCAGCTCCGCTGCGGCGCCACGGACATGGATTTGTCCACCTGTGAGGTCCGGAAGCGCTTCCAGGTCTCTAGGGGTACCTTCCATTTCCATTCTTCGGGATCCGAATCTCAGGAAACCATCAAAAACCCAGGGGAAACGGGGCCGGTGGTTGAAAAGAACGGAGCCGGTTGAAAAGAATGGAAAAGGAATCAGCCCCTAGAAGGTCCCCTCACAGTGCCATGGGATCCATCGAAGGGCCCAACAAAAAACCTGGGACCGTCAGTCAGGGCGGAAGTGCTTCTAGGTCTTTGCGGTTACGTTCCTGGTTTTTTGACTGGCGGCGAGGGAAAATCATTCCTGGATTGTTTTTCCGGTACCCCACTGGACCATTTAATTGCAGCCACATCCTCCAAAAAAGGCCCTTTTCGTTTGGTGGTTTACAGGGCACCCCGAAAAGCAAATCATGACCGTTTCTTTCTGGAACCTCTCTAATTCAATGCGTCTTTTTTGGGGGGCAGCGGTTAGGCGCCTGAAGACCCGATCCCGGTCGGCATCGCCTACGTGCAGTTTGCCACCTGGGCCCGGACACCCGGAGGGAGTCGTAACCATAGGTCCATGTGGGCGTGTCCTTTTCAGGTTGGACCCCGAACATGGCTTCGCCTGTCCTTTTGCTTTGCCTTTGCAAACCAACAGGTGTACCCTTCAAGGGAGACACTCCCATTTCAGGTCGGTTCCATCGAAAATGGAGGTATATCCAGCAAATTATAGAAGGGGCGAGCTCCAAATTTCCAGCCAAGGAGACGAGCTCCAAATTTCAACCACAAGGGGCTCACTAGGAAACCTTTGGGTTCCATTTTGTGACACGCCTTTTAGCTGTGAACATCACCTTTTGGTTGCCAGTTTTTCCGCTGAGTGCCCCCTGTGAAGTTCCAAAGGAGGAACAAAGCTTGAGAGCCCTGTATGGCTCTGAATGATTGACATGTCATGTTGGCATGGCTCTGTTTTGCGAGGCGACCCTTTCTGGACGATTTTGAAAGGAGACAAGAAAAAGACAAAGAAACCAACGCCCGTTGGAGACTTCACCCGGACCTAGTTGAGAACCTCAGGTGTACGAGGCCGCACTCACGCGGCTTGAAGCGGCCATGAAACCAAGCGTGATGCCCATTTTGAAGAATTTACTCAACAGGAAAAGTGGCACTTTGGATTGTGGTTTGCCTTATTGTTGGCTGAGACATGGCCACTATGTATGTGTTTCCCCCGGGTGCACCGCGCCTCCAGTGTGAGTTGCAGTCAGAAACGGTCGCTGCACTTCACCTGCTTGAGAGCGGAAGATGTGCAAACGCCGAGCCTTCTTGTGTTTTGCCAGTCATGTATTCAATTGGGGACCTTTTCCCAATAACCCTGCCCAACTGTGGCGACGCAATTTGAGGTTTGTTCTTTTCTGACACTGCCACCATTCTAGATGAGCAAGTAAGTTTTCTCACTAGCAAACAGCCAGGCTTGCCAAAAGGCACCAACGAGCATACATTTTGCATAGGGTTCTTTCAAGAAGCCATCTAGCAAGTGCTGCTTCTTGTTGAATCCTTTTCTATTGCAAGTAGTGATCAAGGGGACCTGACAAATGTCGTTTGTAGGCGGTCTACCTGAATTCCGATGAGTTGTGGATACATAGCGTGCCTGCAAAATGTATGGCATCGACCATACTTTTTGCCGCCAATGAGGTGCAAAGCAGCAACGAAGAACCACAGCACATCAAGCTTATCACCTGCAAAGGCACGGGCTCCGGGATGCGGTGGGCTCAATGTCTGAAAGTGCCACCACTTGACCCCAGTGTAAAACAATTAACCTAGACGGGGTGGTAAATGAGGCGTACATGAGTGCAATGCAGGGTGAATAAGCCCAGGCAAGAAGCATGGCTGACATATGTCTGCTTCAAGGATTGCTTGAAGGACCTGCGTGAGAGTCTTTGAGAAATTCGTGTGTGTGTGTGTGTGTCAAAATATGGGGACCCCGAAAAAACATGGGTGTCCTTTGATTTCCCCTCAACCAACCTGAAATAGGATGCCCGCCACAGGCGCGGAGGTCATTGTTGGGGATCCTGCCCAGACCGCATGCCAATCCATCTTGTGTTGAGAAACGGCTGGTCGGGGTGAATTGGTGTGAGCAGTGAGGGGATTGCCCCTTTCGGCCTTGAATGAGACACGAGACATGCCTTGTGTGGACTCGTTCTCGCTTCCTAAATCGAACCTGGGGAAAGCATGTTTTTCAGTGGGCTTAGGCTCCGACCTCGACTTGTCTTTCTTTGCAAGATGCGCATGGTTCTGGTTTTCAAGGGAATCCAAGAGGGAAAATCCAAAGCCATTTCGGGGGGGCCCTCCAAGTCGGACACAACCGTACATATATATATATATATATACCCCAGACTTCCAAAGTACATTAAATAAATGGCCTTTGTGGTAAAGGACATTTCCTGGGAAAAGGACATTTTTTGCTTAAATGGGGGCGGATCGTTATTTTCACCAAAACCCCATGTAAAAGGGGATGGACAGGGCCGCGCAGACCATTTTTTGCCGAGCTTGAGAGTGCTTCATGTGCAGTTGCCGCACAGATTCACTGAGAGTGCTTCGCTTGCCGCTTCCACACGGATCTGTTCAGCCTCAGCTCAAATCTTGCTTTCGGACGCCAAGGGCTCACATTTGGCCAAGCAAAGGGCTGCGCAATGTAGCATAATGTGTGATCGACAATTAGCCAAGGCACGCTTTGATTTTGCTCTTCATGCTAATCAAGCGCAGCTTGGTGATGTAAAGGACCCATCGAGAGCGATGCAAAGCGTGGGCTTTTCTGCACACACCTTGGAATTTTCACGGATTTGAGAAACCAACAAGCTGAAATCCATGTGCAAGAGGAGTGAGGGGGAGAGCGAGAGAGAAAAAGAGACACACAGACAAGAGACAGAGAAAAAGAAAGAGAGAAAAGGAGAGAGAGGGAGAGAGAGAGAGAGAACTCAATCCTTTATTGATCAAAGGCGCCTTTAAGATGTTTCATTCCGTCTTCATCACCGAAGCAATGAAAGTGACGGTAGTTCTTGCGCCGCGTCAAGACATCCATCACCATGTGCAGCGTCAACTGGCGGATGCGTATGCGCGCGGGCGCAACAGTAGTCTCGCTAAAAGTTATAATTCTGCACTTCTTGCAAATAAATAGCTGATGATGCAAGGCAAGGCGCATGAAGCTTTGGGCGAAGTCTGAAATGATCCAGACCACGCTGCGCCGACAACTTCGCCAAAGCGATGTATGTCTCGCAAAACTTACTGCCAACGCGATGCAACTCGGCTGCGTCACCCGGCTCCAGAATGCGGCCGCACCGTTCGCTGATGCCGAAGAACAAGGCCAAACTGGTCCTCAGAAGATAGAGAGAGAAAGAGAGAGCCAGAGAGACAGAGCGAGAAAGCGAGAGTGAGAGAGAGCGAGAGAGAAGACAAATAGACAAGAGAGAGAGAGAGACAGAAAGAAGATAGAGACAGACAAACTAACAGAAATGAATACAAACATAAATATCATAAATAAATGAATAAGAAACACAGAAAGAAAGAAAGAAAGAAAGAAAGAAAGAAAGAAAGAAAGACAGAAAGAAAACTGCAAGGAAGAAATAAATAAAATAAATCAGAACAAAAGACTGACAAACAAAAGACCCTGCAAAAAGGGTAGCGAGAGTGCGCCGCTGAAGCAAGGAGTGTTAATGCAGGCAAGACTCGCGCATGATGCCAAAAGCGGTAGCCGGTCATCTGCAAATCTGTCTGTTTGTGTCGCAGCGTCGGTAAGACAACGAGCAACCCACTCAACCACAACGCGTCCGTTGTGTGCTTTTGTTGTGAAAAGCGTGCTGCCGTCTTTCTTTTGCACCTGGGCTGCTGGAAACAAGTACATGCCAGCTACACTCCCCGCTTCAAATCCGCTAAAACTAAAAATGCCCAATTTGCGTAACACTGGAAACTGGCAATCCAGCCGGCTAAGGAACAGGATGCCATTTCAACCCAGCTGCGTGCCGGACTTTAAAAGCCGGTTGCGATGTTGCAATGCGCTCTGCTCTGCAGAAGGCGCGGAAGTGGTCATACGCCAAGTCTAGGTGAGCTTGCGTGTCCGCAGCATTCCCAAAGTAGTGACAGTCACACAATGCCATCCTTAGTAGAAGGCGCGTGCGTACATCTACAATAAGCCTGCCAAGCTATCCCGCCAACCTGTTTGCCAAGGTCAGCCAAGCTTCACTGCAACGCCATTCAAATCGAACGCGAGCCCTAGATTCAGCACATGCATGCTGCATATGTGAATTGTAGATGGGTGCCAGCCGTGAAGAAGTAAGAGTGGGCCTCGCCATAAATTCACCCTAGACCCTAGCAAGCAAGCGCTATAGAGCTCAAAACACCCATCAAACGTGACATTTTACAAAGGCTGTGAAGCCAAAATCAATAAAAGTGCGAAACTACAGCAAGGCACAAGGATCTCGTTGCTGGATTTGGTGAGTCAGGAACCCAAGCACATCGTACTCTTCCCAGGCACGCGTCTCTGCATCCATGCAATAGAACAATTCACCAGGGTTTGCGCTTCGCCCTTTGGCCGAGCACCTAAAGCAAACATTATCTGCTCGCGCCCAGCTGGACCAAAACCTCCAGATTTGCTTATGCCAAAGCCAGTCCCCTTTCAGTTCCGTTATGGTAAATTTGCGCCCCCCTGCAAGCGTAAGGTGCGGTCGGTCGGGGTCTACCCCTGTAAACATGATGTTACATGAATACACCAAGCGCCTGAGCACAGCATTCATGGTATGGTGTCCGTAAAATTTGTGCTCTTCTATGGCGAACACGCACCACCGCGCGCATCTTGTAGAGTACGGTCTCCACACAGCCGGCATGGAAAAAAACAGCCCCACAACTTTGGTCCCATCATCCTGGATTTTCGCGGCATCACCATAAAAGGCAACAGGTATATGGTCTGATGATGCTGGGCTCTGCGTGGCCCAATCCTCTTTTAGCTCGTCGCGGTGGACCCTCCAGTATTCACGGACAGATTCAAGCGAAACACGTAGTCCGATCGTGGTGGATAGCTGGTCAAACAAAAGATGCGGGTCCAAAAATGGCACACTGCGCATTTCGTAGCCACTGGGAAGTTTTGGCGCTTTCACAGGAACGGTGATCATAGTGGGCTCCTAGGCTCAAAGCACATAGCCACAACAATTTTATACGGCATGTACAACAAAGTATGTAAGCAAAAAAACGCTTTGACCAAGGCGCTAAGTCAAGGTGGCTAGCTCTCATGAGATCACGCGCCGCGTTGCGGCCCTCCACCAGAGTCCCCAAGCGGTTGCTCAGCGGGTGGCAATATCCCCGACAATCCTGCCACAATAACCCTCGAGTTCGACCAGAGCAAGCGTAAAGAAACACACTGCAGAGCAAGGCTAGAGAAACCCACACACATGAACATGCATGCATGGAGAGCCCGCCGCCCGCCGATGCCGGACCGCGTCCTCAACATGGGCGCGAGCCCGCCTCAAAGCTGCAGTGGCGCTGCTTGCCTTGCGGGGGAATGGGGAGGGTTCAACTTAAGCAAAAAGAGCCCCCTTGAAATTTCCGCTGCAAAATGGGGTTGACCTCGTGGGGTGGGTCATCTTATAGAAATCAAAACTGGCAGCTTTGCCTATTTGTACTCATTCTGCTTGGTTGAAGCTCTTTGGCTCCTATTGGAGCCACCTGGAATTTGTACGCTTTGTTGGAAATGCATTTTCCATATATATATATATATATCACTGGTAGGATTGAGAGCCAACTCGCCCAACGACAAGATTTCAGGGGTGGTCGCCATGACAGAGATATCTAGCTGAAGCGGGAATCAATTTTAACAGTTCTCCAAACCCTGTCATTTTGTAGACGCTTTTTCAATCACTCTCCCCCTAAATTTCCGGGGGGGTCAAAATGATACGTCCTATTTGTTGGCAGGCTGACGCGGCCAATATTGACCAAGGCGCCCCAGATTGCACATCGTCTATGAGACTTTGGAAGAAAGGACCACCGTCTTGGTCTTCAAAATCAGGCACGTGTTGATCTGCCGCTGCTGGTTCTGCGGGGGCGAGGCGAAACGTTCGCACAAACAAACTGTTTTACACGGCGTAGGCCCCACACACACACACAGACACAAACAAACACACACATAACACCATCACAAGCAAACAACCAACCACACGTGCAAACACAAACGCTAACTAACACATCACACAAGCACATTCAAAAAGGCAAAGGGCTGACCTAAATCTTCAAGAAACCAACCAACCATCAATCAACCGGTCGGCCAATCAAACAATCAATCAGTCACTCAATCAAATCAAATCAAATGAGGTGAAATCAAACCGAATGGGTTTATCAACCAATCAATCAATCAATCAATCAATCAATCAATCAATCAATCAATCAATCAAGCAATTGATGAATCAATGAATCAATTAAGCAATACAATCAATCAATCAATCAATCAATCAATCAATCAATCAATCAATCAATCAAGCAAGCAAGCAAGCAAGCAAGCAAGCAATCAACCAACCAACCAATCAATCAATCAATCAATCAACCAATCAAACAAACCAATTCAATCCACAAACAATACAATCATTCAATCAAATTTCTCAATCAATGACGAAAGTCAACCACTTCGGGCCATCAGTCAAAGCAAGCAAGCGAAGAGCAGGCAAGCAAGCAAGCAATCAAGGAACCAATGCGAACCATTCAACC